CACCTATATTTTATAAGTTTGCTCTTTTCTGCCTCCATAAAGAAGTGTGGAAGTTATCTGCAGCACTTCAGGAGCCAACCAAGTCAGGGAATAATTTCCTTTGCTCAGCTGGTGTCTGTACATGCCCCCAGCTTTCTGTGACCCCATCCTTGTTCGATATGCCAGCAAGAGTGGGGGATAGGGGGCATTGGGTTTGAAATTAGCCAATTAATGATTTCTCAGCAAAATACAACAGCTCCAAACCTACATCTTCCAAACCACAGAAGAATTCTCTTTCAAAATACTTTCCCTTCAGTCAGCAGTCTGCTCTTGCCCTCCCCCACTCCCCCCCCCCACTTTGTCAGACCTGCTTCTGGAAAAAGTCTCACTGTTCCAGAAAGTGATGCATTAATTCAACATGGACTTTGTTTTATTTGTCTAAATACGCAGCACAGAAAATAACTGCCTGCAGTTATCAAATGTGTTCATCTGCAGACAGGAGCTCTTCAGCCTACGTTCCTCATCCGCAGGCCCCTCACCCTCTTTTTGGTTTTAGACAACAGAAAACCTTGTGCCAACAGATAGAAAAGAACAATAATGACATTTCTTCTGAACAGTTCTGTACTGCGCACGCTCGCTCTTCAACCAGCAAGGGGCAATAAACATTTACTACTTTCCTTGGAGCACAGAGGAGGGGAAAAAAAAAGCCCAGATGAAAAACTAAAAAGAACAAACCACGTCTGAAGCCGCTCTGGGCTGGTTTGATTTATGCACAGCAAAGCAGCCTTGTGCTGCAAATGACAAACACTTCACCAGCGTCAAGGAGAAGCAGCAAAAAACAGTGGAAACAAAGAGAGAAGTCCTGTGGGTAATGAGGGGACTGCCAAAGAAGGCAGAGCAGCTCTGGTGGGATGCAGAAGCACACCAGCCAGGCTGTATCACCAGTACTGATCAAGGGCTCTTGCCACAGCTAGAAAACTGGTTGAAGAATGACTCAGCCAGGGTAGGAGATGGGGTTCAAGTATCAAGACCAATTCAAGATGCGGTTCAAGTATCAAAGACTATTGAGTTACATGACTGACCTCCCTCCACGCCCCATCTCCCCCCATCAAGCTCCTGCTCCCCATAAGTTACACAAGAGGAAGACCTATAGTTTCCAAGTTCTAACTTTAACTCTTTCATTGAATAGCTTATCTTTTGTGCTAGCAGCTACTCTTAAATAACAGGCTCATTTGGCAGAAATTCAGCCCATATGTCACTATACTGTTGATATGAATAACTTTAAAGTACTTTCCTGCATTGTAACAGCTCCAGTTGAAAGTCTTGGGCATAAAACCAAAGCAGCAATAACTTATGTCAGCTATCTGGCATATAAAACAGGCATGTAAACCCCCTCTTTTCCCAATCAAAATTGAATAGCACAAATGACTTCTCATTAAATTAGCCTGTAAACAATTCTAAATTGTCTTCCAGGGGAAGTTCTAGATAGATGCATGTGTAGAATTACCATTTTACCCAGCACAAGAGAACATGAATTCTGCAGCTTGGAGGTCTGACAAGTGTCAGGACTGAGGAAAACTACAAAGGTTCAGTCTTCTCCTTACAATTCATATTTGTATTACTGGAGCTTTGTAATGTATAGACAAAAGTTTAGAAAATGTACCACATTTTAAAACATTTAACTTGTAAAAGAAACAAGCTCTGAAGCTACATAAGAAACATAAACCAATGTAATCTCTTAGATCTGGGTACACCATGGACCATTTTAAAGAGGAAAGTTTAGCAACAAATGCCATCTGTTTCTCTTTGTAAAAACAGACTACAGCTGTTCTCTTTGCAGATTTTTTTCAGCTTTAAGAAGGAGCACTACCGTGATATTCAATACTTTGTCCTTCATGTTTCTTATTCATGGACCCAGTAAAATTTCTCTCAAATATCTGAAGTTTAGGGATGCTCAGCCTTTTTAAGTGGCTTTGCAAAGGGTAGAGGTAAATATGCTGTCCTTGATAATTCTCCCCTGTTAGGGAGTCTGTAACAGGGAAGCAAGCACTCTTCCCTTCCACACTCGGGCTTTCCTGGTGTTTTTAATATCCAAGTCACTTAGAAAATCCTGGTCTTCAGAAACAACATGTAATTCCTTCAGTTCTCACTTTAAAGTGATTCTATCATAGACTTAGTTGGCAAAAACACTTTATTAGTGGAACCCAAGCATAAATAGGAAGGGAAGCATCTTTTACAGCTTGCTTTTAAACTCCAGTGACCTCTTGGAACTAACCCAACAGCAGGGACTATCTTGAGCAGAATATCACTGGGTGGGGAGAATTGCAGCCAAAATGTTTAATTGAATTTATTTCCAAGAAAGAGGCCAAGTGGGGAAGGGGAAGCTGTTCTGCCTGCATCGAACAATTCTGGCAAGCTCCTGGTTGAACAGCTCTTCTAGTTCTTCTGGGCTTTAGAGCAGGGGCTTGAAGGTTAGCAGGGGGTGTGTGTACACTTCATGCCTTCTGTCATTTCAGTGCAAACCCACCCAAATTTGGCCTTGTTAGGATGTCTTTTGGGTTGGGATGAGGGCAAGAAGGGAGAAAGAATCTCTTCTGACCTCATATAAACTGTGTTCTTTTAGAGAACAGCAAGCTGGACACCCAGAGAGACTCCTACTTTCAACTGCATTTTGGAAGGCATAAATGTCTGTACAGACTACAGCTATGTCAGATGACAAAGCCACTGTCTCCAACCTGTCCCCAAGTATTCAAATCACTTCTTTTACTTTCAATATGCCTGCTTTTTTTTAAAAAGCTCCCTAACCTACTATTTCAGATGACATTAACCAGGTTGTTTTTAGCCAGCTTGGCTAGCTGTGGCTGAAATGCATTGGAGAGAGCTTATAGAAGGAGCTCAGCCATGGAGGGTGCCCCAAACCTTGAGATGCTGCAGTTTGTGCCAAGTTCAAGTGCTGAGATTTAGTTTGAGATAAAGCACATGTTCTCCAACACACTCAAAACCCCAGTATTGCTTGGGCCTAAGAGGGAAGAAACTGTTATGGAACAAGAAAAAGGCAAGGATGGAAGAGATTAGGGGAGCCTGTGATGGGGAAGACTGCCAAAGACACTGTCAGAGGGCAGTTCTGGAGCTGAAGCCCACAAATAGTGGGCATAAAAGTGAAAAAGATAAAACCTGGGAATGCAATTTAGGTCCTCAAGTTTTACCTCAAGACTATGTTACAGGATTGATCATGCAGTCTTAATATCTTATGGAGCTTTGTTTGCAGTGTTGTATGAATATGAAGGATATATTTGTTTAAACTAGTAAACAAGCTGTTTAGAAAACTGGTTCTCAGAAATGATCCCAGTTAATTTACCTGGAAGTATCTGGCAGACTTTGACAATGCAAAATAAGTAGCTCCCAAACTCCTGTGGTACAGAAACAAGCACAGGTTCTTTTGTCTCTCAGGGTAGTCCAGTTGCTGCAGGGTCTGCAGTAGGAAGAACGCCCTTCTTGTTACTTTGGTTTCCTCAATCACACCAGTTCTGGTGTCCTCAACATAAAAAGGACATGGAACTGTTGGAACAAGTCCAGAGGAGGGCCACAAGGATGATCAGGGGACTGGAGCACCTCCTGTGTGAAGACAGGCTGAGGAAGTTGGGGCTGTTCAGCCTGGAGAAGAGAAGGCTGTGTGGAGACCTCATAGCAGCCTTCCAGTATCTGAAGAGGGCCTTTAGGGATGCTGGGGAGGGACTCTTCATTAGGGACTGTAGTGATAGGACAAGGGGTAATGGGTTCAATCTTAAACAGGGGAAGTTTAGATTGGATATAAGAAGGAAATTCTTTCCTGTTAGGGTGGTGAGGCACTGGAATGGGTTGCCCAAGGAGGCTGTGAATGCTCCATCCCTGGCAGTGTTCAAGACCAGGTTGGACGAGGCCTTGGGTGGCATGGTTTAGTGTGAGGTGTCCCTGCCCATAACAGGGGGGTTGGAACTTGATAATCTTAAGGTCCTTTCCAACCCTAACTATTCTATGATTCTATGATTTTGAAGCAAAGGTGAAAGGTCGCTGAGAAGTTGTATGTGCTTGACACACACAAGTCTGCAAAAAGAACCACCACCAAATCCAGGAGAAGATAAATTTGCTACTTTTAAAGTCCATTGTCTCCTTAAGCAGGAAAAGGCACCCTCAACCCAGAAGCTCCTCTTGTGGTTACATTTGGTTCCATCCCCTCAATAAGGCTGGCTGAGAGTTACAGAAGTGAAAATTGTGCTTCCCCCTGCCTCTTCCCATTTTGAAGTGTAATGAATACCACATCTGGACAATCTTGCAAGAAGAGTAGAAGTGGACAGAAAGGGGTACATTTGCTCTTGAGAAGATGATTCACACGCACCAGAGAAGTGCTTGGGTTGAAGGATACCTCAGACTTCACCCAACCACAGCTTCAGAACACAAAGTGCTCCTCCCTCCAAAGGCAGTGTCAGATGAGCAAAGCTAATAAATAGATACTGCTGCTGGTGGTCTTTTAAACACATGGGACTGACTCCAAAAGCTCCCAAAAGTCCTGAAGGAGTCTGTCTTTAGTACCAAGCACTGCTTGCAAGAAAAAGCAAACCAAAACTGGAATGATTCTCATCTTTCCACTCCAAGCACTTTTCCAGCGCACACATCTTTGACCATGGCTTTTGGCATTCTTTTCATTTTAATAGCCCTGAAATATCACTTGTCCTGATTGAGGTAGGAAAGACTGAGTACAAATATGCCCGAAGTTAAAACACAACAGATGTGAGCTTCCCCAAGCAGCACAAGGAGTCAGACTTCAGAGTTACCTTTGATTATCAGCCTCCAGCTCTGGGGGTGCCTAACCCTGGTTCCAAGACACCCTCATGCTGTCATGTACAAAATCCACATCTGAACTCTGGAGCTTTGGCCTCTCTCTACCAGAGTGCCGAAGATGCAGACCCTGGTACACCACAGCCAAAGCTGCAGCATGGCTTTTGGTGCACCATTAGGGGCTGGTGCCATAGGAAGCTATTCACCTCGACTCTGCTGCCTGTTGACTATCCCGCCCAGCGTCCATCGCCGGTCCAGGCGCCTCAGGTGAGCCTTGCGTCGCTTAGAAACTAGTTTGGAACATGGAATGAAAAAATAAGAACAAAAAAAGGAAAAAAATGATGGGAAGGTGAGAAATAAAAATAAAACATGGCATTTGCAAGCACTGGTCTTGTTAACAGGAATGAGTTAGGTGGCATGTAGACAATTTGGTTTAGTTTATATAGTATAGTGGAACAAGTTAGATTCTTGAGCCTGATCAACACAAATCACCTAGAACTGTCATAAATTGCCACTCTTATTATGGCTTTCCTTAAAAAAAACCCCAAAAGCCAAAACATGCACACCCCCCAAAATGAGACGTACAGCTTAAGACTGCTTGTCCAAGGAGGTTGGATCAACATCATTGCTGTTGTGTCTCCCAGTTAGGGTGCATGATCTTTGGAGGTTTCAGTCTATAGCATATGACATCAAACAAAAACAGGGCTCTAACCCTCTCTAAGCAAATTATTACACTATAAACAAAATCTAGGGGATAAATAATAATTAAAAAAAAAAAGGCAGCCTGTCTTGTGCGAGTTCACTTGTAACAGGAGCACTCGGGTAAAGAAGCCAGGTGGAAAGTGTCTGATGTCTCCTTGTTTATAACATGGCTCAATCACTGCCACAGCTAATTATCCCAATCCAAACTTCTAATATACTGATTACAAATACAAGGAAAAACCTACCCTTGCAATTACTGAGCAGGCTCAAGAAGCTAACAAGCCAGAACTGAGAATTAGTGACACACTGAAACAATAATTTATACTTAAATTATAAACAAAGACAAGACACCTATGGAAATGGCATTGAGAGCAGCTGTGCACAGAGGACACCACTTTTTCCTGGATTACATACATAGAACTGTATTCAGTGCCTTCTTATTCTTGTGAAGGTGTGAACAACACAGGAACCATTGGACTGTCATAGAAACACAGACAAACGCTTCCCTTTTCCCATTCGTAGGCTTCCATGCTCTTTTGGCAACTACTGCAAGGGTGCTTGGTGCTGCTACAAAGCAATGTGAAGTATTACACTTCAGCTATCGCTAAGGTGCAAACACAACTGTTTCGCTAGTGATACAGGGAAACTGTTTGTAAACTCCGACATCAATAATCACTCAATTCTGCTCATGTGCACCCATGAGAGCACACACCACTGTCTTCTAGGATCGTGTTCTGTGGACAATCAGGTATGGAAAAATTATTTGATTTGGCAATGATTAGCTGAACAAGTAAAAAAAAAAAAAAATTTGTGATTTTCCCAGAAGGGGCTTTTGTCTTTTTGCCCTTTATATCTGTCAGGGGCTTACAGACCAGACCCTGCACCCTGCTCACTCTCCTCATTTGCTCCTGTATTATAAGGCCTAAACCTTCCCCAGTAAACTGGAGTTGTGGTGAGTGTTGTTGAACAGACTCAACGTCTTATTTGTGGTACTCTGTACTTCCCCTTTGCTGCCTTGTGAGCCATAGAAAAATCAGAGCTTTTCAGAGGAGCTGGATTTCAAGCATTATAGCTCACTGTGTTTTTAGCTGGAAATCAGTGATCCTCTTGGAAGCCCCTGGTGGCACAGAACACGAGCTGTCTTCACTCCCTATTGGTAGAGTTTTTCTTACCAATTGCTTTAACCTGGTGGCTTTCTCCAAATCAACAGGACATTAGACTGCCAGTTACATACACGCTACACAAGAGGCAACATAAGACACCTCACTAGACATACAGATTATAGCAGAGAAGTTAAAGCTGAGGTCATGATAAGGCTGCCTGTATTAGGAGGTGTCTGTAGAAGAATAGAAGAAATGAAAGATATCCAACTTAAAGGCTTGCAGGAGGGGTGTGAAAGGGGTAGGATTTGCTTCAGCTGTCAGCACATAGCAGTCCCCCACAGCTCCTTGCTCACACCAGGAGTTTGGAGCATTCAGTCATCCAGCAGCACCCCTTGGACACAGTGGGTCACACAGATCCACCACACACTCTCCTCCTCAAAACATACGACTACCCCACAGTGATAGCCCTGTTACATCATGATGCTTTTTAGGAGTCGGGGTTTTTTCCCCTCAACAATACTGAATTTTGCCATTTGACTTCAGACTTGGACTTCATTGATCATATTAGAGGTAGTCACCAGAAAGGTTATTTATCCACAAGTGTCTAAACCTTTGCAGAGACCATTTTAAGATGTTTACTTTAACAGGTCTCGTGGCTGCAAATGTTTCTTTAGATTGCTTTCTGAATGTTTTCCAAGCTTTGTAAGATAGCGCTGGTCTAAACACAGGCCCAGGTAGCAGTCGACTGTCTACCCTCATCCTGACAAAAGATGTTGTGCAGGCTCCAGCGCAGTGAGGAAACACTTTTGTCTTTCTAAGGGAACAGACTATTCAAACAAACACACATGGAAGTATTACTGCTATGTAGAGGCAGCACTATTAGTAAGTTGCATTCAGCACCTCCTTATCTTTATAAGGGGCTGCCGCAGTAGAGCAGACCTCCGAGTCTGCCTGGCTTGTGGGCTTGTTCCAGGCCTGCTGCAAATGGAGAGGGCCACGAGGCTGATACAGAAAGCTCCCTGCATTAGTGTTTCTACCCTTTCAAAGTAGGCAGAGCATAGACTGCATAGCTGCAAGAAGCCAACATCTTCAGGAGTCACTCTGAAACTCGTATGAACTCTAAATTCACAGGCTAGGGCACTTAATGCACTAAACTGCCTTCCTCCTCAGTTATACTGGAGGTCCTATCTCCTGGCAAGTTTTCTTTGTAAGTATGTACACTTTTATATGCTTTCCTTTAAAGAGAGTGAATCCGAGTTGTTCTTTCCTCTCTTACGAAGTAACTATTAGTAGAGGGGAAGAGCAGCCCAAATAAAGAACTGTGGGGGACAGGCGCAGGACACACAACAAAGAACAAAAGAAGCCTCAGCTTACGTGCTTAATAACAGAAAAGAAAGTTACAGAAAAGCAAGCGAAAGTTAGGGCACATCAAAGCAGCGGTTGAGGTAATGCAATTACATTTGTCACTGAGATGGAACTGAACAGAAAGGGAAGAACAGTCTCAGGTTTCAGCATATCTGGATTTGGAGTAAGGAAAGGAGCAGGACTACTGACTATAGCTGAGGAGAGCAGTATAATGGATTAAAGGGGACCAAGAGGAAAAAGATAAGGAACACCTCATGGATTTTCCATTACCCAGGAAAGACTGCTGTGTGGCAACAGCCCTGTGCAGAGTATGCTCCAGAGGGCAACATGAAAACCAGAGGAGAGCTTGAAATGAAAGTAATAAGGCTGTCAAGCATACATCATATTTAAGAGTCAGGAAAAGGGAGGAAGCTACAAACCAGCAGACAGGGCACTCTTCAGCTCCTTCAGGAAAGAGCAGTAAGCTTTTGTTCTTTACTAACAGGGAAACTTTACTAACTGCTTTTGCATCTGCTAAGATGTTGCATCATACCAGACTGGTTACTTGCCTGCCAGTCTACAGCCAGTCTGTCTCTAAACCCTAAGTGACCCAGGATATGGGTAGCTTTGAGCAGGGAAAAATGAGCTACAGAGCCAAAGGTTTCAATAAGCCACAGATGTCACCCCTTGGGGCCCAGCACAAAGTTATGTTTTGCCTGTGTGCTATCTGAATGGACAGATGGCCACCCCTACACATCTCTAATCCTCCTGCCTGTAAGGAAAGGTCAGCTGAGTTTTCACATACGTTTTACATAAGCGTCACATCAAGAGCACCTAGAAATTTAGCAAAAGATTCATTAGAATGGAGAAAATAACAATAAAAGTGTCCTTTGTACACAGTTGCTACATGAGAACTCTATTAAGATGTGGTTAGTCTTTCATAATGGAACAGAGGAACATGTGAGGTTGTACTATTCCATTTCTGGAACCTGAATTTAGCATCTTTAGCCAGAAACCAGCACAGCTAAATGCACATACATGACAAATGGCATCTCAGTTCTAACAGAATGAGACCACACCAAATAAAATTACCTTTCCACACAATCACAGACCACAGCAAACAGCAGTGAAGCTAGTTTCAAAGATTAATTAAAAAAATAGTAATGAGAAGCAGCCATTCAAGTTAAATCTTGCTCTTTCAATGGCCTGTGGCTCTATTGAGTATCTTTTTCCAGTTAAAAGCTTTCACTTGTATAGTTTCTGCAAATAAGCCATGCAAGTTCTTGCCTTCCATAGACATGAAAGTCTGAGACCTCTACCAGAACATAGTGGTTGGACTTGACCATGAGTTGTTTGTGTGATTTTTAAAGGGTATTGAAATGAGCACCATTTCAGCTTTTGAACCTCTAGTCACACTGACAGCCTAAGCTGCTCACAAAGGGATTACAGGCATGGTACTTCAATTTCTTCTGCAACAATTTTACTGATATAATAGGTTATTGCACTAGATGAACAGCCACAAGTGGCAGCAAGAGTTTTCGGAGTTTTCCTATGGGGAAAAAAGTAGAAAGCAAGCAATAGCAGTTTCCCCTTGATAACAAAAAGCTTTCCATACCTTCCCCAAGTTTGGATGTGTTGATGTCGGAGTCATCTCTGGTTCCATTTTGGGATTCCAGGTACGTAGCAGGGACCCAGCCCTGCTCCTCTGCTGTGCTCACAAACCACCAACCTACAAAAAGGAGTAAAGAAAGTTGCTCATTCAACATTAAGAGGAATAAGAACAGCAGGATGCTACAGAAGAGGTAACACAGAGTCAGCAGCTCTGAGTATTTAAGTATTCTAACTCCCCTAGAGAGGGGGTTTAGTTCTATTACACAATTTCTATGAGATACTCTCACAGCAGTAAATGAACGTGCAGGCAGGCCTCGTGATAAAAGGGTACAATGCAGCAAACACTCAGTTCACTTTAAGAAACCTGAAGTCTATCCATGAAAGCTCTGATTTGAGTTCTCCAATTCAATTTCTCAAAGCAAGTCTCGCGACATGTACATCTACAGTATCAAAACACTTTGTATATATATAGATGAAGTCACAGAAGTCAAAAGATAGAAATAGGCAAGACTTCAGTAGAAGGGCACATATTTCAAAACAGGATACAAAAGAAGTGCTTCTAGAGCACTTTCCACCACAGCTGTTGTTTAGCAAACATGACCTGAATTCAATTCCCTGGGAAGCTGGGAAGTACTGCGCAGAGCAGAAATACAAGAGAAAAGCTAACTGAAATGTGACTTCAGGCCATAAGCACCAGCTATTTGCTTTCCCACCTGAACATCCAAGCCTCTGCCACTATCTACAAAAATCTTCAGTATTTACCAACTCTACACAATTAATGTTTAGGTCACATCTGTGGATAAAATTTAGAGGTGAGCCATCTTTAGGGTAAATGCATCCCAACTATAACTATCTTTGCCTCTTTTCTTGCTGACTACATTGATTTATAGAATCCTCCACTGGTTTTGATGTAGACTCACTCATCCAAGAGCTTGCTGCCCTCAGATATGAGCAAAACTAGATTCTGCTCCATTCAGATAAGGTCAGGGTTAAGATGCAGCACAATAGAAAGCCAAGCAGGTAAACCATTTCTGTTGTTTTCTACAATCTCCCATTCTCCCCCAGAAATGCAGGTTGCTTTGTCAGGACAATGCAAACTATTGTTCAACCCCAGTCTTCCAGCCCCTCCAAAGGGAGCTGAGAAAAATAGCATTTCTAAACATGCACCTCGAAACAGTTTACAGATCTTGATAGCTGTCATAAACCAAACAAATCTCCATGGAGATTCCCAAGCCTGCAGCAGGGCCAAGCCAGCTTGGTCTGTAAATAGATGGGGCACAAACCCTAGTTAACTTATGGTGGGGCAAAGCCCCAAGCTGTGTGACAGCCACAGCCAGGAGGCCGCAGCCCTGGGCTCAACAAGGGGAATGCAGGCTTCACTGGACTCTGCCAACATGCAACTTTGAAGACAAAAAGTACCCCAACAATGCTCAAGTGTTCATGCTAAAAGTCACCCAAGTTCCTTCCAAATCCTGTCATAGAAGATTTTACCAGAAAACAGTAGTTACAAACTCTCCTTCTCCTCTCTGGGGCTCATAGATGGGAGACGATGTGCCTCAAGAAACAAACTGCTCACTTGCCACCACACAGCTGCTAGGTAGCTCTATTTATTTACTCTTAACCTCCCAGACACTGCTCTCCATTTTCTGGCCTAGTAGAGGTTTGGAAACTTTGCTTCACAAGGCTCATGGTTGGAAAGTTAAATTTAGTTATTCCCCCTCAGCAGGAGGTGGATTCTCCTGCCACGAAGCCCACAGCAGTGAACACGCAGGATCTGCCAGACCGTTTCGAACACACATCTCCATGGTTGTTCCTTATTTTACTAGCAATGTATCGACATGCGCAGCAAACACAGTTTAGCACACACTCATAATTTGGCACAAAATGTGAGAAGTTGGCTTTCAGCTGATATAAATTAGACTGGAATAGTTTATGTAAACTCTTCCTCAGAAAGCAATTAAACACAATTGCACAAAAAGAACTTGCCTACACTTAAGAACGTGTGCTGAGGCCAAATTCAAACCATGGTAAAAACGTCTTTGGAGGCCTGGATCGCCCAGACTTGTGACACAGTGCTAGCCCATTTCACAATACACCTCCTCTGGTTTGGCTCACTGAGCTGCATCATGACCTCAGAGCTGAGTTTAAGGTCTTGTGTTTGGGGCCATAGTGTAACTGAGCCTCCATCCAAACCATCTAAACAGGGCTCCCTGCTAAAAGGCAACCCCTCACCACCACCCCAGGCATGCATACACATATCTTCCCACTGCTTCTAAAAAGCCTTAGCAAGGAAGCCTCTCAACTCCACTGATCTTAAGAACAGGCTCCCACATACCGGCTAGAAGTCAAGTCACATTTGAGGAAGGTTATAGTCAAGTAACTCAACCAAATATCAATTGCAATGTGCAGACAGAGCATGTAACAGCCTAAGTGAGGTTTTAAGCCGCTTTGAGTCTTCAAGCCTTCACTAAGATTGAAGCTCCTCATCTCCACAGAACTCATGAAAGTTATCATTTGTTTCTAAAGATTCCCTTTATAAACTCTGTGCAGGGGTAAAGTACATCTGAGAAACCTCCTCAGCTACTGAGAAATTGGCAGCATCTGTACAGAGTGAGAAAACCAATCTCTGCTTTTGAATTCTCTTCTTCCATTTCAAGCTTGCTTCTTAGAAGGACAAAAGAAAGGCTTTAATGCAGCTCACTGAGTGGCATGTCCACACACACACACAAAGTGTGTTTGACTTGAACAGCCTGAACAACTGAGAAGCCTGAAAAACTTCCAGCAGCACTCCTGGCAGCAAAGAAGTCAAAAAACGGATGATGCTCACAAGCAAGATGTTCACAGCCTTAGAATGGCTGAGCAGAGATTGCAGAGGTAGCTCACTCCCTATGAGGCAAAAACCCGAATTATGATGGCATATCTAAGCCAGGAAATTAAAACATAGTGCAAGAATTAAACTCCTAGCAGAAGATGGCTGAAGCACAGACAAGTTCCACAATGCAGTCCATGCATGACAGCAGTGAACTGCAGAACTCTGCCTAGCTGATCATGAAGTACTTGCTCTGCACCATCCCCTCTTTAGAAGGACTAGGGTAGCTGCCATTTGGTCCCACCACTCTTTCTTCTCCTTCCCTACCCCCAGGTTCATAGGGGTTCACAGTTTACAGACAGACTGGGCTTAGTTCGTGCCATTATAATCTTGACTTTCTGCAAACAATTTCTTGTCCCCTCCCCTGCCATCTTTCCCAACCCAGAGCATCGCAGAGATGTTGTTAGAGAAGTTGCTTTTGAAACAGTGAACAAAACATTGCATTTATTTGGAGTTCTCCCTCTATGCTGGAATTGAGCTCAACTTCACAATCCATTATTAAAACCATTCTGCAGCAACATTTGCAGAGAATTATGTAAAGTTATCTCTGTGCACTGCCAAGCTAGTCTGAGGTTCATTCTTGCACTCACCATCTGTAAAAATTAGGCAGTGCTTTACAGCTTGTGTTAACCCTTACAGGTGCCCTTACCTCTCATGCATGAAAACACAACTCTAAAACTCATGTGGCATGGATGCCTAGACTGAGACTCATCAGCTCTCATGCCTGATGAGGATTCAAAGGACCTTTGAGTCTCACAGAATGCACAGAAGGAACTGCAGCCACTGTGTGCAGACCAAGCTCAGCTTGAGCTTTGCAACATTACTCCAAACCCTGCCTTAATACTAATCCAATAATACAATTTTTTTAAGGTAGAAATACAATTTTCTTCCTACATTTGCTGACCCTTTGGTTGGCATCTGTCATCATCCCTAGCTGCAACAGCCAAGATGCCTCTATACTCAGAATCCACCTAGACTCCAATAACCCTCAAGTATTTTCAGTATAGAGCTACAACAGTTAGCCAGAGACAAAAGGTTCCACTTTTCACATATACATACACATGGCAAGATGATGGTTGCCAAACACATTGGTCACACGAGTCAATAAATGACTAAAGTACTAGAACTGTGAAAACCATATTCTTGCTTTTAGTCGTATTCGTAGTCCTCTCACCAAAAGGCTTTCAAAAAAGCAAAAAGACTTTAGGCAAGTGTTATCCACAGCCTGCACCATGGGAAACTACAAGAGCATAGTCAAAGGACTGTCTTTTAGGCAAGTTTACACACATCCTCACCCATCCACGCTTCAATATTGTCCCTTTCTCCACACCTACAGGAAACCTAGCTAATCCTGTTGTAGCCTACCTAATCATAAGAAGCTACAAATCACTTAAAGTGAAAATGCATGATCATGCTGGACATTGGTTTCTAATTCTCCTCTCAGCCATTAATTTCTCTGTAGACTTTGACTGTCAATTTATGAGCTTAACTAAAGTAAACAAGAAAGATAGCAACACTGTAAAAGTGATCAGGAATCTCCCTGCATGAGTGGACTACCCATTCTTCTAAACAAATACTTAAACAACACTCCATCTCTCAAGAGTCTTGGAAAAATTCCACTCAAACAGCAGTCTGGTACATTTGACGTGCTCTTTGGACTTCAGGGAGCTGCTCCCTTTTAAGTCCTTCTGCCTTGAAACTAACTCTTGAGGGTTATTTTGATCCAACAACTTAAATTGTCCTACAAAGCAGTACTAGATGCAATCAGGTGACTTCCAGACCTGGCACACAGAACTTTTCTTGCCAACTGCTTATTACTTTCTTTCAGACATGTGCCCCGTTTCATTAAAAACCAGCTAAGATAAGCGTATTGCTACGCAGATGAAGGCACTTGCTTTTTCCACCCCTCCAGAGCTCTTCCCACACAGTACATGTGCATTTGATACACATAAGGAAATCAGTTGAAATTGGCTTGGACAGACCTCCAAAGAACATGCATAAGCAGAAATATAAAGGCCCCAGAAGTAGCATTTTGCAAGAGGGATTTTCTGCAGTAAGCATATTCTCACACCCACTTCCTAAAAATACACTACAGTGTCCGTATACTGTTAGATACTATCACTGTACATGCTGGCTCTGCTCGCTGTAAAAGGATCCTTCAGCCCGACACACTTGGCAAAGCTGCTGGGTTGAAAACTTTGAATTTATATGAAGGCCAGTGTCCAATGTCTGAGCATTTTGTCCTTAGA